GCCAACACTCGGCCTAAACTCGACCTAACAAAGATCCCATTTGGGGATCGCCCCGCCAGTGGAGGGGTCGGCGAATCCCAATAAAACCGGCGTTAAAAGGGCCCGACCGCCCTCGAGGTAGCACACCGCCAACCACACGCAAATACGCACACAATCATTAACGGTCGGCACTAATACTTACTCTCCTACGCAGAAAATCACTACCTTACGAATTTTGACCATCTTCGTCTTTGTTATCCTCGACGCTGCGGGGGCTGTATACCGTATGGTGGTCGAACAGTCCGACCCGCCCGAGTACCTAACCAAATAGACCGAAGCCGTGCGCCCGAGACCGACCAAATCGATGACCCGAGAACACCGAATACTCACGGAAAGAAACGGGTCGGCTTGCCCGGCCCAGACAAGGGTTTCCACTAGGATAATTACACAGAGATTAATTTACGTAATAGCCCGGTTTATCCCCCTAATTATCCGGGGCCCAATCCCTAATCATGGCCCATCAAGAAACACTATAAATAGACCCCCTTCGAGGTACGTAACCAACTTTTGAACTACCGCATTTATTACGCCGAGTACTTACTTAAGCGTCGGAGTGTCTTTGCAGGCACCCCTCCCCTCACTTCGGACTACCCGGATTGGAACGAGAAGATCGAAGACCTAGGACCGAACCCACTACTACGAAGATAATTAAAGTGTGTCTCCTGATACAGGAACACTTCACATGAGAGATATTTGTGACTAAATGTAATGTAATCCTTTCTATACTTAAATTAAAATTACTATATTACTATCTTAGAGATGTGAATAATTTTAAGAGTTAATTTTTTATGAAAGTAGTTTTAGAAAAAACTCTTCGACGAAAGCGTTTTAGATATTTTTCTTAGTTTGTTACTTCTTTTATTATATCCTTTTTATCTTTTACTATAAATTAAATTTTAATATTTTTAAAAATATTAATAGCTAAAAATAACCTTATATCACAATATAAATATAAATATTTTATCATATATCTAAAAAATATTTTTATTTATTTATTACAAATTTTAATTATAATAGTATAATTTAATCATCCAAAAATATTTATTTATTATAAATTTTAATTATATAAAATAAAAATTAGTTTTATGTATTACAAATGTTAAAATATTATATATAAATGTTTTTATGTTTGTATGATACTTAAGTATTAGTTAATTTTGTTCTTTTAAAAAAATATATGATTGAATATTTATATAAGTATTTAAATTTTCTCATATTTAATTTGACAAATTATCCACATTTTACATATGAAGTGTATGATGACTTTTGTTAGGGTTACCAATATTTAAATTTTTAAAAGTTTATTTAGTTTAAAAGAGGAGGTTTTAATGGAGGAGAGGGAACAGAAGGGATGAAAGAAATGCTAGAAATTGTTTGATTGAGAAAAAAGGTGGTAAGACATTTCCTTTTTTATTTGGTTCATAAGGAGAGTGAAAATTTTAAAAATTAATTTATCATTGTATCCTTCTAATTTTAAATTTCAAAACATAATAGGGATATCTTGAACATTACTAAAAATATTTTAAAATCTTCCCCTTCCTTTTAAATTTTCCAATATGGAAAGGAAGCTAAAATTAAATATAAGGAATTTTATTCTTCTCCATTTTCCACTCCTATTAAAAACTGAACTAAATGAGAAAAATTTATAAAACTATCTCTCCCATTCCTTCCAACAAAACACTAACATAAGTTTTATTGCATTGCTATTGAGTACATTGTGTAGGAAAATGATTGACTATATTTCAAAGAAAATGGCATTTTCGGTTGATATAATTGCTTCAGTACTCATATTTGGATGATGTTGCTCGTTATTCATATGTGAGACAAATTGTTATATGGTCAAACAATATTTATGCAGCATTCTCTAATTTTGTTTTGATTGTTTCCCCGAAACGGTCATCTTATCATACGGAGTAGCGTCACACAATTCGGTATCTTCAAACAAAATTGTCTAGTAATTGATATTTTAGTACATGAACTCTTACTAAATCACAACCAACACTCAAGCAATAGTGACAAATGATTATATATATCAAATTTTATATAATTGGATTTTTTTTAAATATGTAATATATATTATTTAACAATAGATATTTTATATACAACTTGAAAATCATTATACATTAAAGTATAATGATGTGATGAACTATCAAATAATTTTAGAATATATGATAAAAAAGATATCCAATAGTTAGTATTTTAAACAAAGTGATGCTAAAAAATGTAATGTCTAAAAAGGTAATTTTCTAATTTTTTTAGGATTGTTTCTTAAAAAAATTAAGAAATCATTTTTTTCCATAAAAACTAGTTTAGAAAAACACATTAATAAAATACTTATTTTATAAAAAAAAGTGCTTTAAAAAACGCTTGAACAAACAAGCCCATTTAAGGTGTAATTCTGCTAACTTTGACACCTAATATTAACAGATCGTGACTCTATATATACATGTGTGGCTCAAAAAAAAATGTGTATGGAGGGATCAAATTACCCCAAGAGAAACTCAAAGAGTTGCTCCCCATCCTCACCCTTCATTTTCTTCTAATCTAATGGTCAAAGATGAGTTACTTGTTAAGATTAGATTTAAAATAATAAAAAACAAAATAAATAAAGGATGAGGATGAAAAGTAACTTTTTTTAAGTTACTCTTGAAGTAACTTCATCTCCTCCTCTCTCTCTCTCACTCTTTGTGTGTGTATATAATATTTTCTATTATTAAATTCTTATCATTATTTTCTAATTAATTTCATTTAAATTTTGAATTAAATAAATAAATAAATAATGTAAAGTAATCATTTTAAATTTTGTTAGGTATAAAAATAAGTCAAATACTTAATAATACTAGTAAAATAATAAACTGCATTATTATATTCAGTGACAATTAAATAAAATATTATTTTGATAGCTCTAGCATTATTTTGACTTTTGGATCATGAGATTCAAACTCAAAATTTAAACAGAACCGCAATCAAGTGTAGGATTTAAGGTTTAGGATTTAGAATTTAGGGTTTTGAACTAAAAAAAAACTTTCATGTCCAACTTGAGTTGAGTTTCAAGTTGAATTAATTCTTATGAAGTCAAGTCAAGCTAGGCCAAGTTCAACTTGAAGCAACTCATTTCCAGCCTCATCAGTAATGGAGGCTTCACAATTATGACTTGTGATTTTGTTTTTGAGACTTGTCATTTTCTCTTTTAGAATTATTATATTGATCTCTCTGTATATTTATATAGGATTAAATATACTTCAATATATTGTTCTTTTAGTTTTAGTCCTCATAAAAATATTTTTTAAAAATGGTACTTCTTAGAGAGTGGGTTTCAGCTTAACCGAACCTTACAAAATCGACTTTGTAAGGTGAGAACTGTCTCTCACTTATATACTATTTAATTGTCTTATCTCTAGCTGGTGTGGGGCTCAAGTGTGATCATCAAATTTATCAAGTGAGGTTTCACTTGACAAATTTTACAATTTGTTTCTATTTACCAATATCTACACTATTGGAAAATATAATATCTAATAGTTTGATATATATTCCCTATACTTTGCTTTATTGCATATAGAAAGGAGATTTTTCTTGAGCATCTAGAGCCTCAAAATTTATATATGCATTTAACACCTCTTGAAGTCCAGCACTATTGGGCATGGTGCATGAATAAATGATGGATAATCCTTTTTAATGATTTAGGATAGACAAGACTTGGATTTTTCTCAACACACCCTCTCACACCCAGTATTATTGGACTTGGTGTGAATATCAATGGTGGGTGTCTCTTTTTTAGAGTGGATTTAGATAATTTTGATACTATCTTAAAAAGTGAGTTTGAACCTAATTTAACCTTACAAAACTAGTGTTGTAAGGTGAGGATTACTCCCCCCACTTATATAATTTTTAATTGTCTTATCTTTAATTAATGTGAGACTTGACACTACAAGAATGTTTTAATTTAGAGTCGGCCAAAAGCCGACTCTAAATAATAAAAATCGACGTAATATTGTCAGTAATTTGTCGATTTTTGGCTAATGCTAAATAAGTCGACACAATTTTTTTTGTGTCGGCTAAGCCGTCACTAACAAATTTATTTATTTTAATTTTTTATTGTCGGTTATGCCGACACTATGTTGACACAAATTTTATTTTATTTTTTTCTTTATCTTCTTTTTCTCGCTTATCATTTATTCGTTCGTATTTTTAACATTCCTAGGACTCGATTCGTGAACCTTGAGGTCTTAAGTGAACTTGATAACCAAGTGTACTAGAACACATTATGCGTATATAACATTGAAAAAATTATCTTTATCTCTTTTGAAGCACGTATATTATTTAAATATAGCGTCGGTTTTTCCGACACTAAACTTAAAATAAATTTAATTTAAATATAGCGTCAACTTTTCCGATACTAACTTAATTTAAATTTAAATTAAGTTAGTATCGGAAAAGTTGACGCTATATTTAAATTAAATTTATTTTAAGTTTAGTGTCGGAAAAGCCGACGCTATGCCGACGCTACATTTTAAAATAGCGTCGGCTTTTCCAATACTATTTGCGTCAGCTATTAGTCAACGCTTATTTTTCGCTGCTTATTTACCGTTTTCTTGTAGTGTGAATTTTTTCCAATAATTCTTATAAAATTTTCTTTTTTATTTTGGTCCTTATTTTATTTGTCTTTGTAATGTACTCATCTATTCATTTTGTCCTTATAATATGTGAAAAATTTGGTTTCGGTACATAACAATGTTTTTTTTCAAAAAAACCAACAAGAACAATATTATAATTTATAAGGACTAAAATAACATAACAAGGACCAAAATAAAATTTACGAGCACCATTTAAAAAAAAAATTACAAGGATAAAAACCAAAAAAAAGTGGTATGATATAGGGACCAAAAACATTTTAACCTTTTATATATTTAAGATATTTTGGTTTGTCCCTCCAAATCTTGAGATTCAGTACAAGTTATGCTTCATGATTCAAACATTATCTTGACAATTCAGGATCATAATTGGGATTTGATAACTAGCTTGTTGAAGACAAATGGTAGAACAATGGCAAGGGCGTTAACAGTACTGCACCAACAACAACAGTGTCAAGTGTATAGATAGGCAAGGCACATATTAATTTTTCCTAGTTTCATTGAAAAGAAAAGGAGTTTAGCAGAAGGCAAAGAAAAATGCAAATTAGATTAACATTATCATTCTGCAGCAGCACTTAGAACAGCACTGCCATAGTCAAGCTTATATAATACCTAACAAGTACCAACCTTTGCTCTTTTTACGCTGAAGATCTACCATCTTTCCTTGAATTGAAATTGAAGCTTCGCAAGCCTGTTCAAATATGACAGAACAAACTGCTTACTATTTATTAAGTTTTTCAGTATGAATATGTACAATCATTCAATGATGAACATAGATACAATAAACAAGATATAAGATGAAATCATTTACAGAAATTTCCATATATGAGAACCATAACAATCCCCTGGTGAGAAGCTACAGATGAGATAAAGTAGCAATCAGAGACATGGTACAAAAGGTATATTCGACTCTTCCAAACTAATTAGACATGATGAAATTGTTTCTCCACAATCGCTATTTCAATTTCAAACAAAATAACTGTTTGTGATAAACTAAATGTTTTACAGAAAGAAGCGTAGACAGTCAACATAACCAGCATACCAATGTCGAGAATATCTGACATCTAAATGTTGCAACACATCAATGAAAAAAAAAATATATTAATAAAGACTGACAAAAAACAGGAGCAAAGAGTCAAATCCAAAATGCAGGGTATGAACCCTTCTTTTATATAAAACAAGGTATTAAAATATGATATTCAATCTTCAGTTGTAGGAAAAGATGAATTCAACATTTATAGTAATATCCCTGCCATATATAGCATATCAAATTTTTTAAATATCAAGTCTTCAGATCCATGTTGTACTGTACCCATAACCCGAATTATATTTATTTCCCAAGTTTAATGCAAGTTTCAATATCCTCGTGGCCCCTATGCTCTCTTATACTGAACATGCTAAATTGCGGACCAAACAGCAGTTGTATAATAACTTCCATACTAAGACTGCAGTATGCAGTCCATTCAAACAAACAATAATTTTGGAAAGTCAATATAATACAATGAGGTGAGGAAATAGAATAAAATAGAAGGCTACCTTATACTCATCAATAGCGTGTTGAGCAAAAGCAATATCAATGTCCTTCTCCCTAGTTATATAAACAACATGAGGGCATCAATTTACATATTATTTACATAATATCAATAAAACTACACACTGAAAAAAAAAAAAAAAAAGCAACGTAACACTCGCAAAAGAAGAATCTAAAACACAATGCATAAAATATGAAGGAAGTAGTGTACAACACACACATATATATATATTGAGCAGCATTCCAAGTCACTTAAGCATAAGATAGTCCTTTCCACTTGACCAAGTATTATGGAATAACATTGCCATTGTTATCTTTGCTAATCCTATCTGCAATTATTCTTTCCACCTAAAAATGCAAGTCATGGTCCAATTCAAACTACATTCAAGGTAACAAGAAAAAGGAAACACCAAAGCAATGAAATGGAGGAAAAAACCTGACAATTTTTCTTGATAATATCTAAATCCATCTCCTTACTCACATCATTGACCTCAATCTACATATACAGCACCAAAAGATTATTAAAAATTAAATACAAAATAATACTATAGATATATATACAAAAGATATTTCTTTACTTAAATGTAATTTTTCAAAGTGAAAGAGTTATGCATAAGTCTTAACACAAAAATTTCAGTAAACATCCTCACCCCCCAAAAAAAAAAAAAAAAAAAGAGATTACGTAATTGCACCAATTAATACCAAGGCATCAATTTTAAAACTTTATCAGGGTAGCAACTTTCTCTTTCATGATGGAGAAACAGAATGGTGATAAATGAGAGGAACTACAGTAAACCATCAAAACTGCAAAGAACATGACATTAACTAAACATGATTCAAGTCAACAACCAAACAGGTCAGTGAATCCATCAATTACACATTTTTTGAACAAAGTAGCGACCATCTCTTTTTTAAGGTCAAGACCCAGTGCACTATATATTTTCAGCACATATTCCACTGTTAAGTGTTAAAAATGTATAACATATTTTATTAGACCTTTATTGAAAGGTGAGTACCACAAAGTAGAAAGCATAAAACACTAAAAATTATATCTGACAAAAAAAACTTCCCTCAAACAAACATCAAATATTGGTGGAGAAAAGTGGTAAACTATTTCTTAAATATAAATCAGTACCAGTTATTTAACCAATTAAATGAACAAGAATGTTAAAAAAATATCTTGCAGTAGCAGAATTCAGTTACCTCCTCCCGTGAGATTGTCATCCTGTACCTGATGTCCTCTGTTACTTTCTTTCTATAATTCAAAACTTTCTTAAAACCACTATGCTGCAATCCCAGAGACATAACGTAATACAGTTCAGCAAAAAAAGAAAAGAGGAAAAATCTCAACTTACAATGGATTAATCAAACAAAATAATGAAAAACATTATATTAATGGGTAAAAAAGAGACAATACAACATCATAACAATTATTAATGCATAATAAACAATATAAATGAAAAGCATACATTTTGCAACTCAACAATAGACTTCCACTGACAATGCAAATGTGACTGGCCTTTCCATTTTATCAGCAATTCCATATCATTCCAATTAGGTTCAGAATCAAACAAGTGACTCATTAAAACAGGTTCTATGGATCTATTATTCCTCTGAGCCTCAGCAGCCAGGCCCTTCGGCTGATGCCAAAGCACCTTTCCAATGGAGACCCCATCATCCTCTTCGATTTCTTCCTGAAGAAATATTAATAGAACCACATCAATAAAGATAAATCAAAAGTATACACAAGTAAATAGGCAGTATTATAGCAACTTAGCTAAGTCATATTCCCGTCCCACCTTGCAATTCATGCCCATTCAAACAAAAAACAATGATAAAAGCATAACTAAGAAATCATAATCATTTTGCAGCATTATAGATCAGAGTATGCAGATCCTTTGATAGACATAATAAACGGAGATAGACTTCAAAAAAGCACCTGCACCTCAGACAAATTCTAGGTGTATCAACTCTACTCAGAATTCTAAGGTCCCTGCAGTGCAATGTTATCTAATCTAAAGCATGAGAGCTACTGCTTCTGAAATCAATAGCATAAACTCTCAATTAATCAATAAACCTCAAGACAAAAATCTCTATTACCACAGTAATACAAAAATGTCTTCACCAATTACATACAAAGTCAAACCAACCATCATCATTCAATACAACACTTGCTTAAGACAGCAGACTTGATGTCACAACTTAAGCCCTTCTTCAAGCCAAGCATGCCACTCATTTTTCTCACACATACAGATCAAAAGATATCAATGCCTTGCCTACATCCTTAAAAATGTTCAATCTTTGATTCATCATTAATTCAAAAAAAAAAAAATCCCATACCTTTTATTGAGCCATCTTATAAGCAGTGCCCAACTTGTTACACAGTATTTCCCTTCTAAGTATACTTAATCATCAAGCAATAATAAAGAGAGAAAAATTACTAAAACAGTACAAACATCAATATGGGACAGATCGAAGGGGGAGCATGCCATTTATAAAAATATACTATGATAAAAATATATTTATAAAATAAATATATAATTGTTAAGAAAATATTTAACTTATTCTTTAATTGGTCCTTTAATTTGTTTGAGATTAACTCTTCCTGTTTCAGTTATTATAATTAAGAAATCATTTTCAGCTATGTATATGATGAAAAATAAACTTAAGGACAATATCGAATATACATTTTTAATTTTATATTGATAAATTGATTGAAAGTTTATGCATATTCTATTTTGTTAATGAATTTTATGATTTTTAAAAAATGATATTCATATGTTAGATAAACAGAATAATGTATTTAACGATTATAATTTAAATTTTATTTAAATCTATTATTCAAAAAAAAAAAATTGCCACCCCCGGTTTCATAAGGTTCTGGATCCATCCCTGACATCAATATCATAACTGATTTGTCCCTACTCTGGGACAGCTTCTTTCTGGTAAGGTTTAAAATGTTTTAACAAACAGTGTCATACAGAGATATGGCAAGCTACAAATGTTTTGCTAAGGTCAATTGCAACAATCTACAACAGCCTATTACATATTGATGTTACTCCAGCATAGAAACAATAATTGTGAGTTTATCTTACAAACGTCAAAATCTCATTGTTTTGAGAACCGGACCAAACCAGCCAGTTCAACAGGGAATCAGTCTATGACCAGTCCATTAACTCCAAGAAACCAAGCATTACATAAATTGGGAACCGGATCAAAAACAGTGAAAACGGTCAAAACTCAGAGAAGAAAACAAGTTTGAACCCATATTGTTCAATTTTTTAATTTTTAAAATTTTATTTAAAATATTTTTATGATAATTAAAAACACATTTCATAAAGATTATAAATTGGTGTAAAACATTTTTAATAAATTTTTTTATAAAAATATAATTTAGTCATTTATATTAATTTACAATTTTTTATATCTTGATTCATGATATTTTACAGTTATATATATTTGATGATTTCATTTTAAATGAAAACTTGTAATTGTTAATGAACATGGCTATATTTCATTAAAATTTAAATTTAAATATTATGATATATTTAGCTTGGACTTTTTATGTGTACTTTGCATGTTAAGAACATATAAAGCAATGTTTTATTTTAATTTTTAGTGTTATAAAATTCTGATATCATATTTATTTAATATTATTTTAATCAATACTGATTCGTGTATCGTTTAACCACATTTAAATGATTGAGCCTTAACTAGTGTCTTGATGGGTTTAATAATCGGTTCAATTTTAAAAACATTAGAAAGTTCACAATTAACATTTAGGTTACATTTGGATGGGTAATTATAAAATTTGAAGGAATTTGGATTCTTGAACTTCAAATTACTTTGATTTAAACTTATTTCATTTACCAAATGCTTTGTTTGTTCGAATAAATTAATTCAAATTTCTTAACTTTAAAATTCTTAATTTGGATAGGATAATTTAATTTTCACCATATGCAAAATTGATTTTTAATATATATATATATATATAGACTTAGATATGTTTTATTCTCTCAAATTTAAGATAAATTTATTTTTTGTCCCTCAAATTTAAAATTATTATTTTTAGTCACTATAATTTCAAAAAATATTATTTTAGTTTTTATATTCAAATTTTGTTAAGAAATTTATCAAATATTATTACATAAAATTTACCTATTGGTGTCCCAGTTAGTGAAAATATCACATTAAATTTGGTTGATATTGTATAACCGTCTTAATTAATCATTTTTAAATATATTATTCATGACCTGAGGAACTAGAATAAACTTTTTAAAATTATATGAACTAAAAACAATAATTTTAAATTTAAGGGATAAAAACAAATTTATTTTAAATTTAAGAGACTAAAAATATATTTAAATCATATATTTAAATTAAAGTTTTAATATTAAACTACGAAAATAAACACTAATTAATTTTTAAATATTTAATAGTTTAAAAATAATTTGGAATGTTTATTAATTCAAAATATTATTGGTACTTTTTACATCAAAATTGCCGGATAAGAGAGAGAGGAAGGAGAAAGAAGAGAGAGGGTTGCGACTTGCGAGGGACGCGAGAAAGTGATAGAAAAGAAAGAAAAGTTAAAGAACAACAAGGAGATAGAGAAAAAAGAGAAAAAGTGGGAATAGTAAGAAGATGGAAAGGAGGGAAGAAAGATGAAAGAGAGAGAGCGCTAAGAATAATATAGAGGTGAGACAAGAGAGAAAAAGTAAGTATTAAGAAATTCAAATTCTTTCTTTTTTGTTTTTGGAGAATTAAAAATCCTACAATTGTAAGTAATCAAAATACTTTCTTAAATTACTATAATTTCAATTTCTTTCTAAATTTCATATCCAAACAAAAAAATTTCACTATAAAACATTTTAAATTCATTAAATAAAAACAAATTACTCTATTTAAAATCTTCGTCTAAACATACTATTAGCAAATTTTGGTAGATAGATGAACCCAAAACATTTGCACCAAAGAGAGACCAGCAGAGAGAGAGAAACCGTTCTCAAATTTGTGAAAAGCATTGATTATAAACATAATAAGTAGGCTATACCTCTTGGGATTTCTTCTTCCCTTCATCAGCTTCTTCACTTTCTTCACTTTCAACATATGATACTTTCCTAACTGTCCTACTAGAAGTGCGAATTTCATTTTTGCGCATAGAAAAACTAGTTAGTGCAGCTGAACGACTATTATTTTTGCGTACATGCACACTTCGCTTTTTTATGCTTCTAAAATCCTCGTCACTGTCACTGTCAAAATTATCTGTTGTAGACTCATCGCGTGTGTTTGTTTTTACGTTAAATGAAACTAAATGGTAATTCATTTTTTCCCTTATTTCTACTTTTCTATTTTGGAAAACGTAAAAAAAATTGTTAAATAATATTCAAACGGTAAAATAAACACGTTGATCTTCATCATCAAACGATGATTTAACTCTTCTTTGTCGACAAGAAGTTGTATATTTGCGGTCCCTGGAAAATCTTATACTTTTCCCAATTTTACCTCGTTGCCTTCCCTTAGCCTTCTTATCGAAGTACGAATCATTGTTATCCGAGAAATCTATTTCCTCGTCACTATTATGCGCTTCATCCGAGTCTTCACCTTCCCAATCTTTATCCTGGTATTATAGTTCAATCACTTAATTATAGTCAAAAGCATCAAGGAAAACCAAAAATAAAAATTAATCACTGAATATTTACTCCAACATTAACAGTAAATCAACATACGATCCGTAAATAACATACACAGCCCCCTTTTCCTGCCAAGAGAAATTAATAGAAATTTAAAATAATTACTTGAGGACGAATGTGTATTTTTTGTAAAGCGACCAAATTGTCCTTATTTTTTCATACTTCTTTACATTTCTATGGATATTTATGTTATTCTATATACATTTTAACTTCCTTTCCTTTCATTTCTTTTTTCCTACTAAACAACTTAAAAAATCATCTCACTTTCTAGTTTTTACTCCTTTTCCTTCCGTCTTCTTTCCTTTCCCTTTCTTTCCTAAACCAAACACGCCTTAAAGGATGATACAACTTTTTAGACACCAGAAAGTGTTTTAGTATCTCTCTTCTCCTTCCCTCACTTCCTTTCATTCACTTTCTCTCAGTTCTTCAATACTAGCAATCACAAATTAAACATTTATCGAAAAAATAAATAAAAACCTGAACCCAAGTTTTTCATCATCATGGCCTCAAACTCCAAAATAACAACATAAAGGAAAAAAAAACAATACATCAATATTTTTCTCCTTTTAAACAAACAAAATCAAGCAAATGCCACATTAATGAACTTCCCTGTTTCATGTTCTGGTATGGAAGACGGCCCCTAGAAATTTCCAGCGACTATCAAGGTCCAGAACATTCAAAATTGTGACCTGCCCTAAGTCATCTCAACTCTGGGCTTATATAGTTTTCATATCATTTATTGCATCTACGAGATTTTAGGGATCGTTTCCAACAATCCAGGGATAATTGTAATAATATGGTGGAAACTTACCTGACCAACTTATATTCTCTATCATCTAGTAATATTATCTAACCAACACCATTTTCCTGTGAAAAGCTTGACGCACTTTCTCCTTCTGAATGCATCTCACTTCTCTGCAGTTATCAAGTCCTTGTATTTCAGCATCCCCAATTCTCTATCAGACAAACCCTGACCATATTAAATCTCTCTCTCTCTCTCTATTGCCTAGTAATACTAGTTATTTATTATTTATTAAATTAAAACCATAGAGCGAAAAGAAATGCATTTCAAAAGTGTATTTTCATGCTAAATACTTAAAGTATTATTTTAACGAATATATTAGTTACTGGTAAAAAAAATTCACAGGATTTCTATATGATTACTTTCCAACACTTTCAAGTGGCATTCATACAGAGAATGCATTTTAAAGCTGAATACTGCAAGCAGAAGGTTTCGGTTTAAATGAATCAAGTCAATCAACTATCACAAGTATAAATATCACCTATTGCAGACTACCAAAAGGCATAACTTATAAAGGAAGCATATATACAATACTCAATTGCCATTAGTATCCTTAATGCAAATTAAAAATTTCCAATAAAGATATCCCACATTCCCACACATCATGGTAATAAATTTTATTATCAATACAAACAAAACCAACTGATTCATACTGTTTATTTGATCACTAAAAACGACAAAAAGCAGCTACATAAAAAAACTATCCATTTCATATATTTCACACCCGAGACATTGATCACATTCAATGTCATCAAAATAGTGCATTCAAAATAAATTACTTCTCTCTTCATGAAAATTATTCACTGCTGAAAATTATAAACAAAATAAGTATGGTCAAACAACCAAATAAAAAAAGCCCCAAACAGAAGTCCAATATAGAACCATAAATACTTCAAGTACACCATTAGTGATCAGAGTCCAAGCCAACAAAATGATGGATATATTTTAATTACATAACAGTCTAAATTAAGGAGGAAGCATTGCCAGTTAGCCACACATGACAAACCCCTAACTGTGATAAGTGCAGCTTATACACCATCCAAATCCAACAATTACAAGTGGAAGTGTGCAAAAAAATCGTTGATGTGGTTCGGCATAAATCTATATTCTATAGGTAAATATAGCAGTGCAGAAAACAGAGTAAAAAGGATGAAATGTAATGGAATAAGGCCAGCATTACTCAAAAGTATACACTACTTCATCTATAATGAAACCACATTTACTAAATGCACATCCTACAATACTAATTTACATCTCAAAACAAAAGGCAAACTATATGACAATCAGACAAAGGAATGCTTATATTAAATCATTGTTACAACAAACAAGGATCAAATCCCACACAACTTATCTCATCATGCAAATTCATGATCTACTGTATGCAGTACCAAGTATGTCTAAATAAAAAAATTGATATTAGATCTGATTTATACGCTCAAAGGCATATTTGGCAAGCCAAATTTTGCAGAGGGGGACAATTAAGGGAAGCACAAGTAACAAAATTACAAGGTTTGGAGCAATGGAAAGAAATACAGTTCCAGCAGGGAAAAAAAATCATTCCCTCAAGCATGGTAGCATCCAGGTGCTAACATTTACCTATGTTTTGCATGATTTGGAAGGGAATAAAGGTGTGAAGTACGGTGGAAGTGGGAACTTATGGTGGTTTTCTTTGCAGTGAAATGGGAAGGGCAAGGATTAATTTATGTGGGCCCCACTGAAATTTGTTTACAATTATTGCAGGCATGGAATGGCACACAGATTTAGTGCAGGGCTGTATTTCAATTGGCAGGCTGCCAGGCTTAATATAACAACTAGTTGCTTGGATAAACATTCAACTCAAAGGAGGACTTATAAAAACAAAAGTCAAAACAGTGGTGGCAGCATTGTCATAAATTCATAATTTATTTATACCTCCAAATAATTTTCAAATGTTTTTTGCATTTTTTTAATTAAATAAAAGCTTTGTAAGAATATAGGTAATAAATAATAAGTTGTGTTAAGAGAAAAATATCTAGTAATTAATTTCACTCACTCTTCCACTCATCCAAACAAGCAAAAAGAAATTTCTCCATTTCTTTCCTTATTTTTATCCATCTAAACAACACATCTTTTCTACTCTATTCTCTCTTTTATTTCTATATTTACTATTTCTTTTCCTCTAACTAATTTCTTTTATATTTCACTTCTAATCCAAACAGGGCCTTAGAATCCCACATGCCATCACAAAAAGTAAATCGCAAGTGATACAGAATAAGCAATGACAATAGATAGCCACAAATACACACCTTATTTGTAGCACGATTGCTTGTTGAGGGCTCAAAGTCTGCATCATCAGGATCGTCTTCTGCAAGGTAATAAACCAAAAAATATATTAAAAACTGCAACACAGGAGTTCATCTCTAATAATAACAACTGAACAAGGGCTAGATTAGCTAATTTCAGAAATGAAACTTCAACATACAGCAACATTCTATATACTTAAATGCAGAGTTCACTACCATCTGCTTCATCCTCTTCTTCATAATCAGCATCACCATCATTATCTTCAGCATCGTCTGAAATCCTAGACTTGTGCATATGCCTTTTGACAATAGTAGACATCTGTTGAGGCCGTGAATTTGATCCAGTGGGTTGACGAAAACCACTGTAATGCATGGAGTCATTTTGCTCATAATATTCATCAGACAACATCTCTTCAGCAGGGATATCAGAATAGCCTCTTGGATCTTTTCCTGAATCCTTTGGTCCATTATCATCTTCTGAGTCTAAACTTTCCTCTCTGTCTTCTGATGAATTATCATCAGACCCATCTGCATTTCTATAGTCTGATCCATTTTTTGATTCATGTGCTGATTCAGAACCATTCTGAGGGCACCTGGACTGGCAGTCCTTCCAAAATGTAGTACCCCACCTTCCTCCAGTAGCTGTTATGCTGCCCTATTCTCTATGTTTTGATTCTCTTGTGCCAACTCGATCATAAACAGTTGCCTCCTTTTGCAGCCTACTACCATCTGGTTTGCTGTCACTCTCATACTGTACCTCCATGTTCATATCAAATTCTTTTTCATTAGAAATTGCATAAGCACATCCATTATCTACTGACCTACTAGATCTATCAGCATTCTGTCCTTGGCCCTTCTCTTCCATGACACCATGTGAAACTGCATCATGTGAAAAGTGGTTAAAGAAAGCCATCCTGTCATGCAGGACTAGCTAACAATTTTCTTCACTTCATGCAATCTCTTCACTGTTAAGAGCAAGATAACTAAAAGCCTGGTTACATGTCACCTTTTCATTCAAGTATCGTCTCAAGTCTGAACAAGAGAGTGAAAAACAATCAGTAGGACCTTGAACCATGCTCAAGCAACTAGCCACACAATGAAAATACAATACCAAACAATATAAATTAATTACATAACTAAATAGACAAAAGCCATATCACCAACAAGTTCAAAAAGAACCGATAGGAGGAAAGGCAAGATGACAAAAGAAATTTCCATCTTATACATTATTGTAGAAGAATTTATCTTCATAACCAACCGAGCACACTCAGCTGTTACTAGCATAACTACAGTGCCAAAGTACCGATCAGTGGCATCAGTGAGTTGAAATCCTTGCACAAACCACTGGTTAACGAGTGACTCAAAACCAAAATTATTCGTCCATACATTTTCTACCAAACCAAGTAACATTTTCTAGCAAACCATGTTGCTGGCAAATGCACATGAAATTCAAAAGCCCAGTTTGTTTCAGGTTAAATTCAAAAGCAGAACTAGAAACTGTCACTCTAAACTACTAAACTTAACTCCAAACTTCAAATACTAGGGTTAAAAAAGGAAAAACAGTCATATCCGCATTAAAATTGAATCCCATTGATCAAGGAGGGAAAAGGCACTACTTCAAACGAGTGCCCCAACGGTCAAAACCGAATTCCACTAACTCTGCGCGGTCCAAAACGCGCGAATTCAATCAAGTCATCACTACGCAACTAAAAACAACTCCAACAACAAAAACGATAACAAAGCCAAATCAAAACGGCAAAACCAACGGATCAACGAGCAAATTCCACAAGAAGCAAGCGAAGCTCGCGCCAGTACAACCCCTACAAAACTCAAACCGCGACCTAAATCCACAATCAGAAACCTAGTTCTGCAAACGGAAACAAAAAAACTAATCGGAACAAATCCACAAACAGCAACAGCATGAGGCTCACCTTTCTCCACCTGAAGAAAGAGCAACAGAGTTCAACCAATTACGCCAAACAGAGGAAGCGCGGTGCGCAGGTTAGCAAGCATGCGCACCTTTGCCAGCGAGGAATCGCCGGAGGAGAGTATCGAGAAAAGCGAGACGCGAATAGTCGGAACTCCGACGGAGAAGTGCTGCTGGTGAGTGAGATTCAGAGTAGTGAAGCGGCGGCGAAGGAGTCGGAGATTCACCGGATGCGGCGGCGATTGTGATGTCGGAATTTGAGTGGGAAAACGAAGCTATTTGGATTAATAGAGGAAGATGGTGTGCCCAAATGAAAAGAGAGGGTTAGTTATGTTTCCAAAGAGAGGTTGGTTAATTTTTTGTCTTTGCCTTTGAGAGACACGTGTAAAGAAAAAAAAAATATATATATATATATATAGATGAGGGTTCAAACGACACCAGTGTAACTTTTACTAAGTGTTACACCACTCAATAACTTTATATTAAATGTGAAATTTGAAAATCCAACCGTTAGATTGAAAATTCATATCTCTTAGATCATATATATTAAGTTTTATATTAATCTAAGATGATTTGATACTTCATTCTCACAAAATAAAATTAACGTAATATATACATTTCAAAATATACTAAAATATGAACACTTTGATTACCTTCAAGTTGTTGTTCAATTTTAACAAAATTTGATATATATGATCTAAGAGATTTGAACTTTCAATCTAATAGTTGGATTTTCAACCGTTAGATTGAAAATTCATATCTCTTAGATCATATATATCAAATTTTGTTAAAATTGAACAACAACTTGAAGGTAATCAAAGTGTTCATATTTTAGTATATTTTGAACTTTCAATCTAATAGTTGGATTTTCAAAATTCTCATTTAATATAAAGTTATTGAGTGGTGTAACACTTAATAAAAGTTACACCGATGTCGTTTGAACCCTCCTCATATATATATATATATATATATATATATAATCTATACTAATATATCTATCTATACTAATATATAAAAGGAATACTCTTTTTAGTAACTATCTTAGTCTCCACTTTTCTTGACCATTATACCCTTTTATTTTTAAAAATTATAAAAAAAAAAATTAATCAAATTTAAAAACTTGAAACTAATGAATCTATACTTCTATGCTAATATATAAATGGAATATTGTAATACCCCGAATTTTCTACTAATACAATATTAATCATTACTTATTTTTATATTTATGAAGATTATTTTTTTAATAGTTATTTTAGTTAATTAAAGGGGTTTTTATAGAATATTGTAAAGGTTTGTAATAATTTAAATTATTTATGAAATTTTGTATAAAATTCTATTTTTTTAGGCTAGAACGGGCTGTTCCAAAAAGTGGAACGGGCCGTTCCAAAGGATGAAAGTAAACTATTTTTGAAGTAGCAGAACGGGTTGTTCCAAAAGTAGAACGGGTCGTTCCAAATTAGTAAAGAGTTCCATTTGGGTTATTCTAGAACGGGCCGTTCCAAGATTCTAAAAATGCCTAAAAAGTTTAGTTGGAAACGGGCCGTTCTAATTATAGTCAATGTGTGTTAAAATGAACCCTAGAACGGGCCGTTCTGATTTTAGAACGGGCCGTTCTAGTTGAAAATTTTACATATAATCGAAGGGTCCAGAACAGGCCGTTCCGGATTCATAACGGGTCGTTCTGGGTACCCCTGAATGTCTATAAAAAAATATAACTGAGAAAGTGAAAACTTAGAGAGAGAAAGAGAGAGAAAGAGAGAGAGAAAGAGAAAGAAAGAAAGAGAAAGAGAAAGAAAGAGAGGGAAAGAAAGAGGGAATCCAGAGAAGGAGATTAGCAAGGCTCTGCTCTAGTTTCAGCTCTTGCTTATTGAGGTAAGGGGGGAGTGAGAAACCTCGCTCGGGGGTGTGAGAATAATTGTTGGATAGTCTGATTGTCGGATTGGCCCTCAATCCATTGCCTGTTGCATGCTTCTAGGAACATGCAAAGCATTAATGTGTTCTGTTTTATTTTCTGTTTGCTCTACTTTGTTTCTTGTTGGAAGTAATAAATGAATATGTAATTAATGTTAAAAATAAATAAGTTTTAATATGAATAAGAATGCTCTCTGTGGATTCCTGTGCGGACCTTATGAAGAATAATTATGACCTGACTATGTGAAATATGCATAAATGACACGAGACATAAGAATGAACTATTGAGACAAGTTATGATTATGAGAATATGAAAAAATGATGACATGATGTACTAAATGAAATTCTGTAATAAGTCAAATGTTGAGTCAATGAAATAATGAATGTATGACATGCATCATATGCACATATAACTCCAGGTGTGCCGCTTATGCCGCATACCAGTGATGTACTGAGATATTTTAGGTGTATCTTAGGGTCACCAGTGATGTAACATGATAACAAAGTGTACCTTAGGGTCACTCACGACGTAACATGCTAACAAGGTGTACCTTAGGGTCACCCACGACGTAACATGCTACCAAGGTGTACCTTGGGTCACCCACGACGTAACATGCTAACAAGGTGTACCTTAGGGTCACCAGTGATGTAACAAGCTATCAGAAATGTGAAACTTCCGTATGGCGCCACATGCATGCATTTATGAGTCGAGTCCATGACATCATAGCATGATAAAGGAATGTACATGTGATACTGATCATGTATGGGTATTGTTTATATGTGATTAGTGTTTATGACTTATAATTGTTGTGTGTGTGCTATCTAACCTTTATTTCTTCACCTGAAACTGAGTGAAATGTTTCTCACTCCCTTGTTGTTCTTGTATATGTTTAAATTATGTTACAGGTGATCATCATCATGAGGATGTTAGTGATGAGGCTTAAGGCTTCAGTCGGGCATGCTCTGATAGGATGTGACATCGGGCATAGCTAGGCTTAGTTTAGGATGTTATTGTTTTAAAAGCCTTAGTTTTATTTTCTTTTGTAATTTTGAATGTTCATGATAAAAGACCAAAATGTGCATCTTTGTCATATTATTTTTATTACATGATTTGGAAGTTATATATTAATTCCTAATTAGGAGGCATTGCCACCTTTGCTGGAATTAATCTATATTTTTCTTTATATGATTTCTTGAATTTTGATATTTACATGTTGAGTTTTTATGATTTATGACTTACGAATGTGAATCTTCTACCTTATGATATTTGAGACAATTATTTTATCCATGAAAGAGGTTGTCAACTATGAAAGATTTTATTTACTCAAAAAGGAAAAAAATTATTGTTTACATTTATTGTGTATTAATGTTGGGGTAGAAGGTGTCACCGATATCATTTTCAATAACTACTTTTGGTTTCCATTTTTATATTAATCATTTTATCATTTATTTATTTTTAATAACTACTTTTTTTACGAGTAACTTCTCATTTTTTTAGTACAATGCAGGCACGAAGTGCCTTTTTCATGCTAATAATATATAAAAGGGAATACCACTTTCAATAACTATTTTTGGTAACCACCTCAGTCTCCACTTTTTATTTACTATTATACCCTTTTATTTTAAAAAATTAGAAAAAAATATTTTTTACTCAAATTTAAGTTACTACTTTAATAATTATTTTGGCTTTCTATTTTTACGTGGACCATTTTATCTTTTATTTATTTTTAATAACTACCTTTTTTAGGAGGAATTTTTCATTTTTTCTCTTTTTATTTATTTGTTTATTTTTTTTAATACAATGTAGGGACGGAGTGCCTATTTCTTACTAATCTATAGTAATATATAAAGGGGATACCCTTTTCGCTAACTATCTTGGTCTCCACTTTTTTTTACCATTATACTCTTTTAATTTAAAAAATTAGAAAAAATATTTTTTAATCAAATTTAACAACTTTGAAATAATAAATCTAGACTAATATATAAAAGGGATACTACTTTCAATAATTATTTTTGTTTACATTTTTACATGGACCATTTTATCCTTTATTTATTTGTCAATAACTACTTTTTTTATTAGTAACATCTCATTTTTTTCCTTTTTTATTTATTTATTTTTCAAAATATAATGCAGGCGTGAAGTGCCTTTTTCTTGCAAATAATATATAAAGGGAACACCACTTTCAATAACTATTTTTGGTAACCACCTTTGTCTCCACTTTTTTTTACTATTATACCCTTTTATTTTAAAAAATTATAAAAATATTTTTTTACTCAAATTTAAGTTAATACTTTAATAATTATTTTGGGTTTCTATTTTTACATGGACCATTTTATCTTTTATTTATTTTTAATAACTACATTTTTATGAGTAATTTCTCATTTTTTTTATTTATTTGTTTATTTTTTTTAATACAATGTAGGCACGGAGGGCCTTTTTCCTACTAATATATACTAATATATAAAAGGAATACCCTTTTCGCTAACTACCTTGGTCTCCACTTTTTTTAACCAATCAAATTTAAGACTTCAAACTAATAAATCTATACTAATCTATACTAATATATAAAAGGGATACTACTTTCAATAACTATTTTTGTTTCCATTTTTACATGGACCATTTTATCCTTCATTTATTTGTCAATAACTACTTTTTTTTTATGAATAACATCTCATTTTTCCTTTTTTATTTATTTATTTTTTAAAATATTCTATATTAATTAATATATAAAGAGGATATCCTTTTCGCTAACTACCTTGGTTTCCACTTTTTTTGACCATTATAACCTTTTAATTTAAAAAATTAGAAATAAAATATTTTTTAATCAAATTTAAGAACTTCAAACTAATAAATCTATACTAATATATAAAAGGGATACTACTTTCAATAACTATTTTTGTTTCCATTTTTACATGGACCATTTTATCCTTTATTTATTTGTCAATAACTACTTTTTATGAGCAACATCCCATTTTTTCCATTTTTATTTATTTATTTTTTAAAATATAATGCAGGCACGAAGTGCCTTTTTCTTGCTAGTAATATATAAAGGGAATACCACTTTCAATAACTATTTTTGTTTCTATTTTTATGTGGACCATTTTATCTTTTTTATTTTTATTTTTCAATAACTACCTTTTTTATGAGTAACTTCTCATTTTTTTCCCTCATTTATTTATTTATTTTAATACATTGCAACCACGAAGTGTCTTTTTCCTGCTAGTAATAATATATAAAGGGGATACCCTTTTCGGTAACCACCTTGGTCTCCACGTTTTATGATTATCAGTCATTTTGAATTAATGAAATGAAATATCTTAATTTTAAAATTTTTTAAAAATTTACAAACTTAATCTATATATTAAAAACTTTAAATTCAACAGTTGGATCCTTTAAATTTGATATGAAAC